TGTGCCCGGTATATGGCAATAGGCTCACCCCCTATTACATGGGACTCATAACATACATAGTGAAAAGTGGGTGTTACATTGTACAGTGGCATTAAGTGTCATAATGTGCACCTCAGCCTACTCCTTGGGGGGTGAAAGGCGTGATGTTATGTATGTATGTATGGAAATGTGTGTGTAGGTATGTTTGTAACTCAATTACGTCAAAACGGCTGCGGGCGGATCGGCATTCAATTTGAAACAGGGGTAGATTATGGTTTTTTCTTAAGGGGGGAAAATCATCGAATGACTGTTTCCGCCTGGGTGAGGCGGGAGGAGTGTCAGACTCTTACTGACTAAAAACCAAACCGTTCATTCTCCTGCACGTCGAGCCGGAGCCCCGGCAACTCGTTATGTTCTCCGCGGCTTCGTATCGGCATCAGCCCTATTGGGTCCCATCCGTGGTGGTCTGATGGCTTTGAGGCGCGCAGAACACGACGCGCCGTACGCTCGGGTCTGGTTCTAGTCGGGCGGCGAGGCACATATTATGCTCGCCGTCCGCAGGCCCGCGCTTACGGTGGCCGGAGATTGTTAGACTATGGTTTGAATTTGGAATAACGCATTGGCTATTTTGTATTTAACTCGTCGAGTACCGTCATTATAGACACAATTATAGAACAATAGGTTGCGGTCACCGGTGGCCGCTTGGTGTTTGACAGTTTAATGTTAAGATGGAGGCCCTCTTGGCAAGGGCACGCGCCGTTTAATGTTATTTATTTATATCTTGGTTTTATTAATTTGTAATTACTGTGTCATTATTGTATTGTCACTGTGTTGTTATACTCTGTCGTTTCTTTGTGTTTTTTCCATATCTATCTATATATAAATATGTGTATTTATTTATTCTTTTCTTTTTTAATTTTGTATTTTTTTTTGTATCTGTGTGCGTGCGTGCCTGCTGTCGAATAAATGTTGTTTTCTTTCTCTTTCTTTCTGTTTCATGGGAACGCGAGGGAAACGGCGGCTGTTGGTATGAATATATAAATGGAGATTTTACGACTGACATAGAAGCTATGGTGGTCGTGCGCCATTTGTGAGCACCACTGGCAAATGTCTCAGACTTTTCTACACAGTTAAATAAAATTGGAGTGTCTGTTTAAAATTAAAATAACCGCTTTTTACTACACATAACATTACATTACATAACATCACGCCTTTTATCCCCAAAGGGGTAGGCAGAGGTGCACATTATGCCATTGTACAATGTAACACCCACTTTTCACTATTTATGTTATGAGTCCCATGTAATAGGGGGTGAGCCTATTGCCATATACCGGGCACATTTTCAGACTCCTATAGGACTACTATAAGTACTAAAATTAAGTTGGTCATAAAATCGATTAATGAAAGTGTGATTATGTTTTAATATTTTATTGTATTGAATAGTCGATGTAATATATTTTTGATTAAGGTAAGTACCCAATTACATACATTACAATTTCAAAACACAATATCTAACTAAAATGGGAAATAAATTCATTTCGACATTCATGACAAATACATAAGATATATCTACATTTTGTCGTAGATATATCAAAATACAATAGTCTGAAAGTGCTCACGCGAGAATGCCATACAAATTATAATTTGTCTACTGCATTCATGCATAATATCATTGTAATTCCAACTAATCGAATGCCGCCTACTAAAATGTCGAAATCATTTAGTACTAGGTTCAGCCGGTGGCTTGGCCCGCGTCCCCGTGAACAAAAAGTAGCCATGTATTTTTCCAGACCGTAAATCACCAATCTCCACAATCCCCGAATCCCCAACAATGCTAAAAATTCCTAATCCCCAAAAGGGTTCGATTCCCGCACGGAACAACACTTTGTGTGATCCACAAATTGTTGTTTCGGATCTGGGTGTCATTGTGTATGTGAACTTGTATGTTTGTAAACGCACCCACGACACAGGAAAAAATCCTAGTGTGAGGCAACGTTTTTTTTTTAAAAAAGAAAAAAAAATGGCCGGTAACGCACTTGTAACGCCTCTGGTGTTCCAGGTGTCTATGGGCGACGACGATTGCTTACCGACCGACGTGATCCGACTGCTCGTTGACCGGCTTATCCCATAAAAAAAAATATAGGTACCCTAGTTTCTTATCCCGATCCCCTAAGACGTTATTTTTTAATTTTTTTTCAAGGGGGGAAAATCATCGAATGACTGCTCCCGCCTGGGTGAGGTGGGAGGGAGTGTCAGACTCTTACTGCCTAAAAACCACCCCGTTCCTTCTCCTGCACGTCGAGCCGGAGCCCCGGTTACCCGTTAGGTTCTCCGCGACCCCCCAAAACGTTTGGACTGACATAATTGTGTACATTAATGAGACTAAACTACTAGAAAGGTATACCTTATCTTCTTAGTCTGTCGGTCTTAGTCTAACGATACCCGCGGGAATAGCAGAGGTGGTAGAAATAAATAATAATCAACTCTATGTCACTGTTTATGACTTAAGAAATGTTTGTAGAACACACTGTCACATTCTGAATCTATTGACGATATAAACAAGTATTTTTTTATGGGACAAGCCCGCCACAACCTCCCAAAACGGCTGCAACTCCTGTAAGTCAGGATCTACAGTAGATACAACCAACCAACACTGAAGCCGCCACGTCCCAGGGACATGAATAACTGTCTTGGTTCCCACAACGAAGTGAATCAGAAGTTATAATAAGAGGAGAAGAAAAAATAACGATACAAACAAGTATATCACCATGGCAACGTATGATAATATCAGTTGACAATTTGCCCACATTAATATTATGATTGATAAGTGCCCACATATTAATTATAATGTTAATTTATATAATTATGCGTACACCTGTCGACTACTATTTCGCCTTGTCGTAAATTAGGTGTTATGATAATCGGTATATTACCACGCCTACTTGCCTCGGAGTGATAGGTAGCATTTGATTTAGGAAATAATCCTTACTAATATTATAAATCGGAAAGTGAGTTTGTTTGTTTGTTCCGCTTTCACGCCGTAACTACTAAACCGATTGCTTTGAATTTTTGCAGATGTAAAGTTAGAAGTCCGGAATTCCGGATTAAATAATAGAGTACTTTTTATCCCGGAAAAAATTGATATTCCCGAGGGAAAACAAAAAAAAGTATTGGTATAGATGGCGCTGTGTGTATTAGTATATTATTATGTCACAGGCTACTTTTTTTCCTTTTGTGACGCAAACGAAGTCGCGGGTAAAAGCTAGTCATACATAATCTTACGCCTGTCTGCTAAGGGGGTAGGCAGAGACTATGGAACACCAACTGCTACGATTCCTACCTCATTCGCTTCATCAACAGTCATCAATCTTTTCATGCATGCTCGTCGGTTAAGAATACTTTTAAATGTAAACACGGGGTATTCGATTTCCGGGTCGAGCAAAGTATTACTGGGTTTTTAACTCGTCGAGTACCGGTTTTGTAGACACAATTATAGAACAATAGGTTGCGGTCACCGGTGACCGCTTGGTGTTTGACAGTTTAAAAAAAACTCAGTAGTAGCACGGAGTGTGGAAATGTGCCCGGTATATGGCAACAGGCTCACCCCCTATTACAAAGGACTCATAACATAAATTGTGAAAAGTGGGTGTTACATTGTACAGTGGCATTAAGTGCCGTAATGTGTACCTCTGCCTACTCCTTCGGGGATAAAAGGCGTAATGTTATGTTCTAATTCTGATACACCGGTACTTTAACTGCGATATCTAACTCATTTTTCAAGTATGAAGATTATAGAAAAAGAAAAAAATACCCTCTTGAGACTTTTGTAGAAGACTAGCTACTTGCACGCGGTTTCACCCGCTCTGCTCAGCGCCTATTGATTGTAGCGAGATGTTTAATAGCCTATAGCCTTCCTCGATAAATGGACTATTCAACACAAAAAGAATTATTCAATTCGAATCAGTAGTTTCGGAGATTAGCGCGATCAAACAAACAAACAAAAAAACAAACTCTTCAGCTTTATAATATAAGTATAGATTTACGGATTTCTGATAATGTTGACGATGGTAAATGTGTCTAACTATTCGGGAAGTATTAAGTTGTTAGTTAGGTGACTGACGGCACTGTTGGCGCGGAACAACTCTTTGTGTGATCCACAGATTGTTGTTCCGGGTCTGAGTGCCATGTGTACGTGAACTTGTATGTTTGTAAACGCACCCACGACACAGGAGAAAAAACTAGTGTGGGGAAATGTCGCGGAGAACCTAACGGGTAACCGGGGCTCCGGCTCGACGTGCAGGAGAAGGAACGGGGTGGTTTTTAGTCAGTAAGAGTCTGACACTCCCTCCCGCCTCACCCAGGCGGGAGCAGTCATTCGATGATTTTCCCCCTTTAAAAAAAGTGTGGGGAAACTTTTTTTTTTAAATAAAATGGAAGAGTTAAGTAGATTATTGGTGTAACTATTAACGGCAGGCTCCCGAGAAACGTGACAGGTGATGGTAAAAAACAAGTTTTATTTAAGGGTAGGTACTTGCACACTATAGTCAAATTCAATACTTTTTTCGAACTGTCAAAAACGACAGTTTACTATGAATTTTTGTACGAGATTGTGGATTGTGACGTCACGTTTTTTTTAGCGTCAAACAGTATACTACTTAAATATACTAAAATCAAGTTGACAATGAAATCTATTAATGATAGTATGATTATTTGTCAATATTCAATTGTATTGTATTGTATAATTTATTTTTGAATAGCTGACCCGGCAAACTTCGTACCGCCTAAAAGTTTTTTCTCACCTTTTAAACCTTCCCTAGACTTTCACGAACGTATCAAGACCAAAATTAGCCAAATCAGTTCAGCCGTTTTCGAGTTTTAGCGAGACTAACGAACAGAAATTCATTTTTATTTATATAGATTAACACAAGTACCCAATTATACCTAGGTACCTAATTTTAATTCCGGATAATGCAGACGAAACTACTGGTAATAACTAGTTAATAATAGTATATTTCACTCACCATTTTTCCGAACATTTTTGGTTTGTGTGTGTGTGTATCCTCTCAGCTATACAGTGAGACTGATGCCTTAAACTCGAGCGCAGACTGCTTATATACTGCGCAGGAGTCGATTTAAACGACGTATCGGCGTTGTAATATTTCTCGAAGTTATACAGGACTTGTAGATAAGTAAAATTGTTGTGTAGGTGTTCTATTTTGATGTTTTTTTTGGACTGGCAACATTTGTGAAGCAAAATGATAAGAAATAACAGAGTAAAGACACATAACATATTATCACGCCTTTTGTCTCCGATGGGGTAGGCAGAGGTGCACACAGAAGTAACACCCACTTTTCACTATTTATGTTATGAGTCCCATGTAATAGTGGGTGAGCCTATTGCCATATACCGGGCACAAATCCAGACTCTGTGCTACTACTGAGATTTTTTAAAAACCCAATAATACTTTGCCCGACCCGGGAATTGAACCCGAGACCCCATGCGTGGCAGTCGCACTTGCGACCACTCGGCCAACGAGGCAGTACTTCAAGCATTCTGATAAAATCTTCCTCCGTCCGTCCGCAAACAGATCACTAGATGGATTGGAATCCAGGAGACCATTGAGCACGGCCAGAGTGCGAGGAACGTCACGTCACAACGGCCGAACAGGATGAAATTTGGAACGGGATTGTGTTTATATAACACACTAGCAGCCCGTACCGGCTTCGCACGGGGTAGACAACTATTTATTTTTGGAAATTTCGATTGTTGTAGTAACTACATAATAACTACAATAGTTGGACATATGCTACCGCAGAGTTTCTTGTAGACATTATGATGTTCTTCAATATCGTTGTACATTATTTTGTTCTATCGCTAATAGTTCACATCAGCACATTCGACGAAAGACATTTTAAGACTCATTTTTTTACACCTTCGGTTACATTGTTCAAATTTTACCAAGGATGCCTAATTTTTTTCAAAATGAAATGTAGCCTATGTCAAATTTGAAGAATGTATATTCTATTGGTGAAAGAGTTTTTTTAATGGGTCCAGTACTTTTAGAGCCTATTCATTACAAACATACAAACATACAAAAATAGGTACAAATCTTTCCTCTTTATAATATTAGTATAGACATGGGCTACCTTTTAGTCTACGGGAACGTGGACAAAGCCGCGAGCAGAAGCTTCACATAATATCTTTATACCGCAACGTACTTGTCCTTAATAAC